AACAACCATCACCACTATCATCACCATCACCACCACCACCACCACCATCACTGCCACCACCACCGCCACCATCACCACCATCAGCATCACCACCACCACCATCACCACCATCATCACCATCATCACCACCACCGTCATCACCAGTACCACCAGAACCACCACCATCACCACCATCATTCTCATCACCACCACCATTCTCATCACCACCACCACCATCATCCCCATCATTACCACCACCAAGATCTCCAGCTCCAGCTTCCTCCACAAAACCATCACCATCACATTTGGCCACACGTGTTCCTGCTCATCATGGTAATCACCACCAGCAGCAGCCCCACACCTCTCCCTAGGGCAGTGTGGTGCTGCTGATGGTAGACGGAGGGTGGCAGAGGAAGTGGTATCAGCTTCACTGACGACAGGTTCCTGGAGGATGGCACTTGTACAAAGAAGCCAAGAGAATCAAAGGAACACAAGGTCCGGGAGGATCTTTCTGGTGGCCTAGTCAGCTCTGAACTCCACAGGACAGGAGGCGCTTCTGATGGAGGAAACTGCAGTTGGAGACGCCACTGCTGCCCTTGGGTAACCTACCCATGGAGAGGATGGTCCAAGAATGAGAGTCAAGAGAGCTGAGTTCAGGCCCAGCTATGCCCTCACTCCTCTGGGACACTGGCCTCAGCACTCAGCCACCAGGATTCTCAGTTTCCTCCTCTGTAGATAGCATCACGATCCCCGCCTTGTCCAGTGTCAAGAGCAGTCTGAATGGCTGGATGAATACAGAGGGAAACTTGCAGAAGCCCCCCCCTTCTAGCTCTGAGCACCTCACAGCCCCCGGCCCAGAGCACTGCCCAGCAGGGCTAGACAAGAAGGTGATGGAGGGCAGACCCACGCAGGGCCCAAGGTTTTGACGAATCTTATGGGAACATCCCTGGCAGGCTTCTTGCATTGAGAACGAGGGAGCGGACAGCAATTTCTGTGACTAGGCACCATCCCAGGCGGTCATGGAGCATCGAAGAGCTGTAACCATGGGGCCCAAGCAAGACGCAGCATGTGGCCTCTCCCAGAAAGACACAGCTTTCTTGGAGGGAAAGAGTGGGATGAAGGGGAAAAAGGAGTCTGGTCACGGGCTGACCTGACCATGGTCACACTCTGAACCATGACCCTGATCATACACTAAGCCCTTATCCTGGTCACAAAATGATCCATGATATTGGGCACTATCTAAGCCCTGACCCTAGTCACACTCTGAGCCCAGAACCCGGTCACACACTCAACCTGAGCCGGGTCACACTCTGAGCCTTGCTCCTGGTCACACATTGAGCCCTGACCCTGGGTGCACACTGAACCCTGGCCCTAGTCAAACACAGATCCCTGATTCTGGTCACACACTCAGCACTGACTGTGGTCACACTCTGAGCCTTGCTCCTGGATAACACACTGAGCCCTGACCCTGGTCACACCCTGATCCCTGACCCTATTCACACGTGGAACCTGACCCTGGTCACACGCTGAACCCTGACCCTGGGCACACTCTGATCTCTGACCCTGGTCACACATTGATCCCTGACAGTGTTCACACACTAAGCCCTGACCCTGGTCACATCCTGAACCTGACCTGGTCACACTCGAATCCCTGACCCTGGTCACACTCTGATCCCTGATCCTGGTCACACTCTGAGCCTTGCTCCTGGTCACACTCTGAACCTGACCCTGGTCACACTCTGATCCCTGACCCTGGTCTCACACTGAGCCCTGACCGTGGTCACTTTTCAAGCCCTGATCCTGGTCATACTCTGAGCCTTGCTCCTGATCATACACTGATACCCTGACCCTGGTCACAATTCAAGCCCTGATCCTGGTCACAGACTGAGCCCTGACCCTGGTCACACACTGAACCTGAGCCTGGTCACATGTTAAGTACTGACACCAGGAGTTAATACTGAATTGTTCCCCTTGCATGTAGGCAGTGTGTGACTTGGGTCCATCTTTTTTTTTTTTTTTCAGTTTTTCTGTTTACGTGGTGCTAAGTGTGTGCATGGCAGAGGATGTCAGGGAGCTGGCAAGACTGTGGCCTGGTCATTCCATAAGGAAGGTGGTAAGAAGCCCCCCGCCCCAAACCCTGGCCCAGGGCTCTGTGCTGCCTTCCCCAGGAGTATGCTGGGGGCTCCAGATTTTCTCCATCTGGACCTCCGGTTCCCAGGGGCTCTCCCAGCTTCCTTCTGTAACAGCAGGAGGATGAGAAAACCAGCCCAGGCCACAACCCTCATCTGAATCCCTGCATTGACAGATCTGGAATTCAGGACCTCCCTGGGTTTAGAGCTAGAACAGCGCGCGTGTGAGATTTCACTGAGCATCCCAGGAGGCCACACAAAGATGTGCATATGTGCATTTAGTGGTTCAAATGAACTATAACAAACCTCAGTTTGGGTCGGGTTTTCCTGCCAAATCTCACCAAAAATTTTTGAGTTTTTGAAGTGTTCTGAATTGTGGCTCAGAGACTATGGGCCCGTTGCCATAAAATGCTGGTTCCTGAGCGCCTGCTGTGGCCCTGGAGGGCTCTGTGCCATCCCCTCTTGGCTGCTGCAGTGGCCACACTCCCTCCCTGTTGTCCACTCACGCAGGGTCACTTGTGGTCACTCGCGGTCACTCACCCCCCCTCGCAGCCACGCATGGTCATCTGTGGTCCCTCTCTATTCCTCGGGTCACTTGTGATACCCGCAGTCACTGCGGTCACTCACCCAGCCTCTTCCCATCACCTCTCCACCTGGTGAGGACCCTGGGGGGATCAGGGACACATCCACACCTGGCGAGACACCCACGAGTTGCGCCCTCAGTAGGGAGCACCAAGCAACGGGCAAGGCCGCGTGGGAACCCCATGCCAGGCAGTTACCCCACTTTTTGGCTCCGCTTAAGCTTGGCATTGTTTTCAGTTTGGATGACATGGTTGGGGGGCCATAATCCCGGGGTGCTGGGCCCCCAGTGGCCCACCCACATGCTCCCCCTCTCAGGGCCCAGCAGGGTCTCCCGGCTGCCTGAGGCCCTGGGGCTCCCCAGCGGGGAGCACAGGCTTGTGCTGCAGTGGGGACCTTCCCAGCCTCCCAGCTCCCAGCCAGGCTCCCTGCAGAGGCTCAGGCTGCCCCCTGCTGGACACATGGAGAAGACGCAGGACCCAGTGCTGCGGTTCACGCCGGCATCTCAAAGCTTCCGCTCAGACCCCAGACAGGGACCCTGGGCCCAGAGGTGGGAAGAAGGAAGAAGGTGTGGGCCCACCAAGGTCAGCCAGAAGGAGGGGGGAGCCCCAAGGCCCCTGAAATTCTTTTTACGGTCTCAGAATGTTTTTAAAAAGCACCATTTGTTGCTTTTGTCTCTCCTGTAATGACTCAGGACACAGGGAAGTCAAATGCACCCCCTGTGGATCCAAGAGTCTGAGAAGAGGCAAGGGAGCAGAAGAGAACCAGCATGGAGGTTCCCCATCAAGTCGCCTGGAAGCTCCCTTGGGGAATGGGATGGCTGGGGGCCGCTTGACTGCTGGCCTGGGGGCCAAGGCCACGCAGAGTCCACTCCTGAGACCCAAGCAGGGTTTAGGGCAGGGGTGGAGCCGCGGTGCTCACCAGGCCTCCCCAGCCCTCCCTGACCCTGGTGGAGGGACCATGACTGGCCAGTGAAGCCCACCCCCAGCCCACTGGGGCCATGGCCTGGGTGCTGCACAGAGAAGACCACACACAGAGAACATGGGTTTTTTACTTTTTATTGAAGAAAAGAAAAGGAGAGAAAAAATAGATTCCCCACCCCTGCTTCTTCCTGGAGTGGGCTTCTAGTCCTGCCCCTGGGGGCGGCGCAAGTGAGAGGACTGTGCTCTCACCCGGGCTGGGCAGGGGCCCCGGGCCCTGGAGGGGTGTGGGGGCTGCTTCTGGAGGGGTAGGGGTGTCTAAAAAACGGTGCTGGCCGGCTGGGCCAAGCAGGCTGGTTCTCTGCTGCAGCAGCTCAGGCGGGCATCCAGGGATGCTGGCCGCGCCAGCCTGGCCACTGTCCGCGCCCGCCCGCTCGCCCGCCTGCCGGCCAGGGCTGGGCCTGAGGAGGGCAGAGTCTGAGGCACCTTCTGGCCTCTGGAGCCCTGTGCCCGCCTGGGCCGCCGCCACCTCCTGTCCTGTCTGGCTCTGGTCCCAGCACTGCGGGCCTCTGCCTGGCCGCCGTCCGAGCGCCCTGAGGCCGGGGCGCGGCCTGGCCCGCCGCCCGTGAGCGTGTCTGTGCCCGTCCTGCAGCAGGAGCGGGCAGAGCGGCATCCCTCCTCCGTGGCCCGCTGCGTGGCCGCCACCCGCCCGCTCAGACCTCAGTCTGGAGGTCAATGATGTCCTGGCCCACCAGCGGGATCGTGGCGCCCGACTTCTCCCACTCCACGTTCCGCAGCTCCAGGGGCGACGGCGGCAGGGGCTCCAGCTCCTTCTTCACCCACGCGGGCGTCCCGTGGGCTTTCCGAAGGCTCTCCCAGGGCCGCTTGCTGGGCGTCGGCTGCTTTTCTGGCTGCTGGCCGGCGAGGGTGCAGAGGGGTGGCGGCCGAGAACAGACACAGAGCAGAAACAGATGGGAAGAGGAGAAAATGATGCAGACAAGAAACAAAACAGTGAGGAAGAGACCAGAGGAAGGGAAAGAGGGGGCAGCGGGAGACCCCAGTACAGAAGCATGGAAGCAGAGCCTCTCTCACACCGCAAAGGGGGCGGCCCCCACCTCTGGTCAGCGCCTGGGGACCCCCTGCAGGCAAAACCAGCCTGCAGGCCCCTGCCTGCTCAGCACCTCTCGCCTGGCTTGGTTGTTACCCTCTCCTGGGACGCAGCCCTGTCCAGGCAACCCCAGTCCCAGCTGCGCGACACCCCGTTGCCTGCCCTTCCGGATAGGGTCCCCTGGGACAGACCCATCTGCCTGCCCTGTCTCTCCAGGGTCTAGCGTGGGCTGGGTCAGGCCAGGCGTTGGGAAAGACCGAACGAATGAATGAACGGACGGATGAAACCGGTTGGAAGGAGGGAGACGGCAACCTTACCTAAGACCTCTCCCTCGGCCCGCCCAGGCCCAGCCCCCAGCTCCCGCAGCCCCGCCCACTGCACCACCTCTCACCCCCCCACCCCAGGGCCCGCCCCCAGCACCCAGGCCCCGGCCTCAGCCCCACCCCTCGCCCCTCGGCTCCACCCACAGCTCCCCGGCCCCCGCCCCCAGCCCCACCCCTTGGCTCTGCCCACAGCTCCCCAGCCCCGCCCTCCAGACCTTGCTGTCCGCGCCCAGCGCCTCCTTGTCCTTCTCGGCATGCTGCAACTTCCGGTTCAGGTCCTGGAACATGTCCTGGTGCCGCTTCCGGGTGTGCATGATTTTCTGCAGGGGGAGGAGAGGCAGTGAGTCTTGAGCCTAGACGGGGGCTGCCTGGGGACGCGGCCTACCGGGTGGGGGGGTCCTCCTCCTCAAGCCCTCCCTGCCTGTTGGAAGGGCCTGAGCTGGGGGCCCAGGTGTTCAGGGAAGGGAACACCAGCACACACCTCGAAGTCCAGCTCTGCGTACCGCGACTTCCGCCTCTGTGGGGAGAAGGAGTTTGTGCGCACTTGCACCCAGTTCCCTCAACTCCCCTAGACCGCAAGTCCAGGTGCTTCTTGCCTGAGGATGGGGGAGACCGGGACCCCACACCCGTGCCTGCCCGGGGTCCCGGCCAAGCCCTGGGGGACACGCCTCCAGTGCCCTCGAGCTGCGGTTCTGTGTGCCAAGACACTGGGGGTGCAGCCCAGGGGCTCTGGGGGAAGACGGTGGGCAGGCAGGGCCGCTGGGGCTGAACTCAAGCCAGTGCAAATCCAGCTCGGTGGGTGCAGGCTGTGGGCCCCTGAGCCCCCTGCAACAGGTGGGACCACCACTGCGGGGCCGCGGCTCCCTGTCCCGGAGGTTGCTTCCTCCGGCAGAGCGAGGAGCCCGGATCCCCAGCAGACCCTGTCCCTCCTGGCTATGCGGGCAAGGAAGACACGCTCTCCCCGCACAGGCCTGGTCTCCCTTCTGGCCAAGGGGACACTTCCCAGCAGGGGTGGGCCAGGGTGCCAGCCCCCCCGACGCTGGTGGCCAGCCCCACCGGTGGAGCCCAGCCCAAACCTCATCGCCCCCCATGCGCCTTGCCCCACGGCCCGGGCTGCCCTCACCTCCAGAGAGCTCACAGACAAGGTGGAGACGTTCTCGTTCCTGGTCCCCGTCCCCACACTGGGCCCCGGGTGAGCGGGGGGCTCCCCGGGCTCCCCCAGGCTGGGGGG